CAGGAGGTACCTCCATCAGTGGAAGTGAGATTGTGTTTCAGAGATAAACTTAACTGTTCCTTTTAAAGACAGAAACCTTCCTTTTAATGCCTGCTCAAAAGAAGGAAAAATATATTCTTGCAAGAGCTTTTGTTAAATTGGCAAAATTTGCTATCACATTCAGTCTTACCCAATTTGTCTAAATAGGCAACTGAAACAAAAGAATATTTCGACAGCGTTTGCTGCGATGGGACTGATGGGACACTTTGGGATGCCAGGGCCCTACGACAGGCCGGCTTTGTGGCTTGTCCACGTGTGACAAGCCTTAGTCAGTTTTTCTGAGCCTTGGTTTCCTTACCTCTCAAAAGGGGTAATGGTATGTAGGCCACATGGTGATGATGGGCTGTCTTTGGAAGCCTGTGTCCTGTGAGGTCTATGATAAACACATGTAGGGCCTTGTTATTTCTATTCCTGGTGGTCTAGGCCAGGGAAACCTTTCCCATCAGGAGAAGCGGGATCCTCAAGATAGAGTTTGGGAGAGGCACCTTCCTTCTTCAGAGAACTCAGGCCACCAGCCTCCATACCATTCTGGGGTGCAGGGGCTTCTGGGCCTTAAGTACATCCTTGGAGAGAGAAACAGCTCCAAGTCAGCCACACTTTTCCCTGCCCTGAGGCCGGAGCCAGCCCCAGTGTCTGCTGCCTTTCAGAACATGCCTAGTAAAAATGGGCACTACTGCCACTTGGACGAGCAAGGAAGCCTTAAAAGTCCCTGATATTTCAACTTGCTGAACTCATAGGAGAAAAAAAATATTCTAGCAGGGATTTTTATGAGTGTTAGCTTCAGGAAACTTGTGCAGCACCCCATTCCATGAAAAACTGCCGACCCTCCTTCCACAACCCAGTTTTTTAATCAGAGGAGGAGGTTTCCAAAGTTCTTGGAAAAGGGGAATTAAAAAATAACAGATAAAAGATAAAAGACAAAATTTTTTTCTGTGAACTTTTTGAAGTCCCATTTCACTCTACACACACACACACACACACACACACACACACACCCTCCTGACTGAAAAACACTGGTAGTGGTGGGGTTACCACTGGACTGGCCTGCATTTGGGGACTAGTACATTTTATTCTCCATTCTCTGGGTCCTAAAATCTTTCAGAGTGTGCTCAGAAAGCAATACACCTCTGAGAGCCAGTGTACCCAGAGCTCTGAGAGGCAGATTAGAGAAGAGCCTAGCTAAGGACAGTGATCCGAACCTGCTGGTTTCTCCCCCAACCCCACCATTCACCACCACCACCTCTTACCAAGTTGGTTGCTTTCCTTCTTCTTATGCATCTCAGACAGGACAACTTTCTACACACACACACACACACACACACACACACACACACACACACACACACCCGAAGGCCACGATTTCAGCAACACGCTTTTAAGACACTCTATGTCCTCCTCACTCCAGTTTCTATTTTATTTAAATAGCTATTTTCAGACCCTTTAGGTCTTGACTTAGTGAACATTTTCAATGGATTCTCTACCGTTATTTTTAAACCATACGATGTAAAATGATCACAAGGGATGACCTTCAAACGCATTTGGGCCATCCCCACCCACCCCCAAATGCTCACCAGTCAGTCAAAAAGAAATTCTTAGAAAGTGGAAACAACTGCAAACTCCTTACCGCAACCTAATCAAAACAGCCCGCCTAGAAAAGAGTCCCCGTTGTTTCTTTTTTTTCTATTGGAAATGAGCGGTAAACTGAGTTCAGCTTGGCGGTGTTTTCTTAGCTGATTCTCAGCTACAATCAAGCCATTTTCGGACACATTCCCATGTAGGTACCAGGGGTGCTCTGGAGGAAGCTGTCGACGCCTGTTCAGCTAATTTAGGTTTTCTTTGTCTAATTACTGTGGAGCTTAGGGAAAAGGAGCCGGCTCAGGGCAGTAAACTGACACTTGGTCTCTGTGTGTGGTATCCAGGCAGGGTTTGATGGAAAAAGCCTGCTTCTACTCAATTTCAGGTCACTGTCTGAGGCCAGCCCAGCCCAGCCCCCAACCTCTGCCTGCCACCTCCCCTCTCCTCTCCTTCTACAGACAGGCCAGCACACTCAGCTGGGGACAAGACTCTCCAGTGGTCCAGAGGTCCAGGAAACCAACGCAGGCCCCAAAAGTCTGCTGGTCTGTTCTGCCCAAGAAACTTTGCTTTTCTTCTTCCTCAGACATCAAGTTCCCCTTTGCTCACTCCCCTCCACCGCCCACCCCCAGGCTCCCCAGCACACAAACTCTAGCCTCTGGGTCCTTTGAGGGCGGCTCCTGACACCGAGGGGTGCCACCCCTGCTCTCCCTGGGTCTTGTTCGGCAGCACCTCCCTCCTGGCCTCTCTCCCATCAGCCTTCCCAGCTAGCAGCTCCCAAGCCTCCTACTCCCGCCTCTTTCGACTGCCCAGCCCCTATCCCTGGTCAGACTACATTTCCTTGCACGTGTAATCCAATAACTAACTGTCAGGTCTCATTGGAAATGATTTCTCCCGAGGGCACATCCTCCCGCCAAGCCTGACTCTTGAGTTAGAGAGGAATTAGCCTCAACTGGGCTGGCGTTTTCTCCTGAACAAGGGAGCTTCAAAATGGCACATATTTTTGGTGAGCAACTTTGAAAATAGGGACATAACCCCAGTGACAGCTATATATCTTGTCAGTAGTGAGTCTAAATCCAGTAATCTTGTTTAGGAAAGCAGCCCTGGTGGCAGAGTGGTTTAGCGCTCTGCTAACTGACAGGTTGATGGTTTGAAGCCACCAGTCGCTCTGAAAGAGAATGAAAGATGCGGTAGTGTGCTTTCAGTTGGCTTCAACCCTGTAGACCTTAAAGGACAGTTCTACTAGGTCCCAGTGGGAAACTATGAGTCCTAATCCACTTTACGGCACTGGAATTTTTTTTGGGGGGGAGGATTAATATCCTATTCGGTCTTCTTTTAGTATTAAAAAAACATCGTGTGGGAAACGAAAAGGCAAGCATGCGTTCCATTCGACCAGAATTCCAGAGCCCCGAAAACGTGGCATAGGCTCTTCCATCCAAACCCCTCTGCTCCAAGCTTCCAGAGCGCCCAGGCAACCGCCCTCTGCGAAGTAATTGTTGCGGGACAGGTCGGCAGGCCTGCCAGAAAGAGAAAATTAGCACATTACCTTTGGGCGTCTGGCACCCCGGCGTGTGGCTGGGGGCTGCAATGCCCAAGTGAAGTTGACAAATGGGGTGAGTGAGGGCACTGGGGAAGGCAGCTAGTGAGGCTCCGAGCGAGCGAGCGAGCGAGCGAGCGGCGGCGGCGGCTTCTCCCGGCTGAGGCTCCGGGGGAGGAGGAGGAAGAGAAGAAGGTCGGGGGAGGAGTAGAAGGAGGCGGGAGGGAGTTGGGGTCTGTTTCTCCGCGGCAGGTTTTCGCCTTGGGATGTGGCGACGAGACAGGTTTCATTAGGTGACACACAGGGGTCGGGTTTTGCTGCGGTGCGGGTGGCGGGCCCTGCCCAAGGAGAGCTCACTTTGGACTGCTCCGCTGATAGGAGGTTGAGGAGGGGGCACGGGGCTGACGATCAAGGGCAGGGAGCGGGCCGGAGATCGCA